TCCTCTCCTCCTTCCCCTCCCTCCTCTCCCTCCTCCCTCCACTCCTCCTCTCCTCCCTCCATTCCTCCTCTCCTCCTCTCCCTCCCCTTCCCTCCTCCTCCTCCTCCTCCTCCTCCTCCTCCTCCTCCTCCTCCCTCCTCTCCTCTCCTCCTCCTCCTTCCTCCTCCTCTCCTCCTCTCCTCCTCCTCCTCCTCTTCCTCTCCTCCCTCCTCCTCCCCTCCCCTCCTCCCCCCTCCTCGCTCCTCCTACTCCTCTGCCTCCTCCTCCTCCCCTCCCAGCTCTCGCATAACCTAGGGGGGTGTGCATCCCCTCGCCCACCCCTCCTCCCTCCCCCAGCTGCCCAAGTCCATGATTGGGCATGGTACTTTTACTTTCCGTTTCTTTCTACTTTCATACTCTGGGGTTCTTGTGAAGTGTTTTGTTTGTTTGTTTTTTGTATTTATTTTTTATCTGTATTGATAGATTCGACTATGTTTTGCTCTTTTTTTTTCTTCTTTCTCTCTCTTTCTCTGAGTTTTTTTATCGTGTTCGATTTGAATAACTTCTGTACCTCCCTCTTGTTTACAAAGGATCGCAGGGAAGGCCTATACAGCGGCCGTGGTCAAAATCCGTAAAATCAAACAAGGGTTGCGTAGGCCTACTGCATCCGGTGCGTGACCCGACCTTTGTCAGGAGAACCGAATCGGGGCGGTTCCCAGTAGAAAGTAGAGGGCGTCTGCAAAATGATACTGAAAAGGAAATTACTTTTTTATCTGTACTCTAGTTTTTACTCCTTACGTGACGATAACCCCGCCAGATATAACAGTCGAAGAAAGTAGAAAGTAGTTCCCTCCAGCCATCTCTTTATATATACGCTTGCATCGCGAGGGTTATAAAGTTACAACACGCGACACTGTCCGATGTAACGCCCCCCCCTCAATCCCTTCCATATCCAGCATCCCCGGACACAGAGCTCGATTACACCACCGATACTTTCTCTTGCCTAATTCAGGGTGCAGTTATCGAGGTTCCCACAAGGGCGATAATCCGTCCGATTGTCCTGGGCCCCACGTCCTTCTCGCTGGTCACCCCCCCGTCCTTTCCTCGACCACGCGAGGCCTGACTAATAACAGTACCTTCTACTTCGCGTTTGGTTGTTGTTTACATACCGTGAAGGAAAGACCTTGAGGAGCGAGTCTTTCTTGACTTAAGAGACGTAAGAGTTCTGTGTGGGTAACATTTTAGAAGGAATTACGCTTGGTAACTTTATGTCAGACTCCAATAAAAGCGAATGCTAATAAAGATATGATCGTTCTGTATTCACGTTTTAGAAAACTGGCACTTATCTCCGGGTTGTAATTCCCAGGGAAGGAAACATTGCGAAAGATAACTAACGATGGCGGGTTTCGGTCCGGGACTTTTTCGGAGATAACGGAAGTCCACTTTTGCGCACGGAATTAACGTCTCTCGCCAGTGACCCGAAATACCTATGACAATTTAATCTAATTTTGATCTGAACTTACATAACACCGCGTCGATGTCACATTCCCCCCTTGGCACCAGCCGCCCAAACATCACTCAAGAGAAAGTCTTTAAAGAGGAAAAAAAGACTCCCATGACTGATAAGCAGCCTCGGAGATGTAAATGTTATGCAGAAGCGGTTTTTCTCCTTTCCCCACATGGCGACGCCGCCTCCCGCGCGAGTGAAAGCAAAAGTTGGCCCTCTGCCCGGCGGTGACGTCATGGCCGTGGGGGTCTTTGTTTACCAGACCTTTCTTCCTTGCCTCTCTTTCTGATACGGATCTGCAGTTGTCTTATAACGTAATTTTATGTTCTTTGTGTACTGTTAGTACTATAGTCGTAAGTTAAATAACTCGTCGGATTAGCCGTATCAGTTACACACACACCACACACACACACACACACACACACACACACACACACACACACACACACACACACACACACACACACACACACACACACACACACAACACATACATACATATATATATATAAATATATATATATATATATATATATATATATATATATATATGTTTGTGTGTGTTTGTAAGGAGAGTCTTTTTACGATATAATTAGATTCTATCTTCTGGCATAATATTCTTATCTGATTAGATAGGCCTGTCTCTGCAAAATGAGCTCTTAAAGAGATTCAGATTTAACACTCTGACAACGTAGTCATATCTGATTTAATGAAGCTGATTTCTGTTTGCATAATCAACTTTTTATGAGAGAATCAGCTTCTATCTCCTGTCAAAGTGATTGTATCTGATTTGAATAAGCCAACTTCTGCTTGCAAAATAAGCTGTGGGCAGGAAACTGCATTTTTATTTCTATAAAAAATAAACGTTACGCTGGATCACTACTTGCGCATTTGTTGAATTCGCCCAAAAAATGTTTCGATATATTTTTCTGGCAATATCCTTTTGTTGTATATCTGTGGAACATTTTTTGACAAGTATTTTCCTACGTGAAGATATTTCGTTACGATATTTAGCGCAGAAAAAAATGGTCGGCTATTTCCGTGAGTAAGGTTAATTAAAAGAAATTTATATATTCAAGTAATCTGATAATCGCAGGAATATCTAACATTTATTATAGTAAAACTGGTAAATTGATGATGTACATTGATGTAAATTGAATCTCGCTTTCTCTATGATAAACAAAAACAATAATTACAAGATGATCATTACTTTTACGAGTTTTGAGCGAACAAGAAAAAAACAAAAAACAAAAAAATCCCATTCACCTACCCTTTCTCGGGGCATAAGATAGAGCGCTGGCAGGGCAGGATCGCCTACACGGCCTCTACCCAACAAGGGGAGAAAACCTCATGTGAAAGTGTCCGAGGTTGAAGGCCTGTGGAAGTCGGCGTAGGAGGGGAGGAAAAGTGGCGAAGGAGGGCAATGCGTCGCTGGTTTCCTTTCGTTTCGTGCGGTTGCGTTTCGCCGATTTATCATTGTCCTTTCTACTTTATTCTGTTTTGTATCGTTTTGTAAGTGGCGTATGAAGATCGATTGACAGCGTATTATGTGGTTAGTCCTCTTATTAGCTGATTATCTTACTTGGATCTTTTAAGAAATAAAGATATAAGAATTAAGTTTTTCATGGCACAGATCGTGTTCGTGGATATGCGTCCGTCTGCTTGCGTCATGCAACCTATACGCTTTCTTTCCGCGTGTTTATCTTGGAGCCGGTGTCCTCATGGGGTAGCATGAGATGCCCCACGTACGCAGCATAGAAAGGATCTGGTGAAATTGTGTTGGGGCGTGAGTGTGGGCGCCGGCGGGAGGAGCCATGCCATCGGGGAGGTCACATGGGCGGTACCACTTAGGCGAGGCGGGTCGACATCGGGCGGCGACGAACGCGAAGCATCACTTAAGAAAGTGCCGTGGCTCCGAGCATTCACGCGGACACACCTGGCCGTTCGCTCGCTGTTCTTCACTGAGTGCTGTTTAAGGTACGTCACGAAGAACGTAGGCCTACCTACAATAACATTAGACCTGTTATAGCTTTAGTGAAAGGCAATTAGTGAAGAGAACTACGTAGTGACAGTCAGACAGTGTGTACATACAAGCAAGAAAGTGACAACTTGTGAGTGCTTACAAAAAACATTTTAGAAGAGTTTGCCCTATAAAATATCGCTCAAAATAGTCCCGTTTTCTGTGAAGCTTAGACGCCTTATCTCACGTGGCGACAGACGACACCAGGAAAGTCGGGAAAGGAAAGAAAGTTTTTCCTCGAAGAATGACAGGATGGCGATGGGTCGGGACGGGAGTGGAGATGACATGATACTGTCTCTCATCTCAGAAGTGAAAGGAGAAGGGAGATAGCAATCTGTATGGAAAAGGTGAAGAAGATAGAGGGGAGAAAGTCGAAGAAGACAATCGGGACCTTTCGTTTTGATAGTATCGAAGAGGCCTGTGTGAACGAATTTTAACTACTCGTTTTCATTTTCAGGGTCTGACCTGCGCGCTTCGACCTGACAATCTGTGACCTTGATCTGTGAGTCTTATTAACGCTGTCTTACGGACTTTGGAGTTGCTTGCTTTACGACCTGAACAATGCAGTGCTGATATCCGTTGAAGTCATTTCCTTCTCTCTATCTTTGATAATTTTTGAGCTGCTCTTAACACTTTTTTTCATGCATTCTAAAACGACTTATTGTCATGCCCGACTGCCCTTGTGTTCTGCCTTCCAAATTGATGCACTTTTAACCATGATTGCTTTGACGAGTCTGACCGACAGATGGCGACAGAGAACCGACGATCATGACCAAGTGATCCAGCTGGAGAGGGAGACGCAGGTGGTGAGGAGCGTGACTTCGCAGGTGGTGACTTGTGACGTATGGGTGACGCAGCTGGTGAGGGTGACGTGACATGACATTGCTATCGGATGTTAGACTCGTGACTTTTTTCACGTCTAATTTCATTTGTTATGATTGTTCTAGTTTGTAAATTTTGTTCTGTATCTAGTGTTCCATGTCGAGAATTTGCGAAAAGAGGAGTTAACTTTAAGGTAACGCAATGTACTTACGCAATTCATCTTCATCTCTCCCTTTCATTTTCCTCTCCTATCCTTTTCCTCTTTATTTTCGCTTTGTCCGCTCTACTTATTCCCTTTTTCACTCCAGTTCCAACTCTCGATAATCTTTATTACTCCTCGTGCGAATTATTTTCCTCAATTTGCTCACATCCTCCATTTTTCTTCACATTAGCTTCCTGTCTCTCCACGCATGCTTGAGTGACAGCGCAAGGTAGCAGATGTGATGAAAGCATTGTGTTTACTCTTCTCTGTCTCCCCTTTCTGTTTGGCTGTTCTCTCAGTACTCGCTTTCCATCTCTACTAGTTGCTCTCTCTCTCTGATCTTCTCTCTTCTCTCCTCT